ATATATATATATAACATACATTCCATATAAACAATTACCTGTGTCATTAGCCTGGATTAAAAATAGTTTTGGTCTGATAGATATTATAGTATATATATATATTTACATATAAAGTTATTAGCTTTAGGACAATAATATTATAAAGTTACTTGTGTTTATAATATAAATTCATATGTAAACCTGTTATAAGATGCAAAACTTACAGTAATTAAATTACAATAATTAACGTTTTCAGTCAAGTAGGTACAACATGCTCCTTTTAGAGGTTTAATCAATTTTCCCCTGAATAATACTTTACAATTGCTGTTACTCTGTGCATGTGTATCAATTTATAAAACGTGTGTCACAGCTAAAGCAGTAGATGTCAAGTGGGGCATATTACACTCATAACATCAGTAGAAATAGAATTAGACTTGATCATTACTTATCACGTGGGGATCAATGATAGACTTGAACACATGGTTGTAACAACAAATTAAGTACATTTATGATAAATCCACCATTACTTTCAATATGGTCCCCTATTGGCTCATTGGTAAGTCAAAGGGCTTATAACGCTAAAAATCATGTTTCAATACTACAGTTGAATAGAACAGAGAGCTCGTTGTGTAGCTTTGGGCTTAAAAAGAAACAAAATTTTCTATAAGAAGTAAAAATCAAAAGAACTTTATAGGAATACTGAAATGGATGTCTTCTGCTCCTGGTTAAGTCCAGAGGGTTAAAAACTACCTGGATATCTTTATTCTTGAAAGTATCATATCACAGTTAACTTAAAACATATAACTCTACTTCTGTAACACAAATACAAGCAATAAATATCAGTTAGAATTACTAACTAAAGCACTTACCATATCCACAGCATTAACATTTGGACTAAAGTTCTTTTTTATCACTTAATACGCATGTTTTTTATCAGTATTAAAGTGAAAAGGATTGTGATTGAAAAAGAATTATTCTCTGATAGGTTGTTTCTGTAGAATATTCACGATGAAGTTCAGTTGAACGGACAGTAACTACCCATTGTAGAAACACAAGTACAGAGGACGACATTTTGAAAGTCTCAGCCTTTCGAAACGTTGTCCTCTATACTCGTGTTTCTACAAGAGGCAGTTGCTGTCCATTTAGCTAAGTTTCAAAAATAATTATGTTTCATTTCAAACTTTTTGTTTTCATCAGTACTCTTGGACTCCTCTGATTGTAGCTACTAAAGGAAATTATTCAGATGTGGTGAACCTTTTACTAACACAGAATATGTAAGTTTTTTTAATCCAAATTCCATAAATGTTTTGAAAAATTTTACTCTTCTGAATCATCATGTTGATCATAAAACTGAAGGAAGAAATATTTAAGCAATATATTATCCAAGTTTGCAAACTGATTTATTTAATAAAAGTGTCTTAACAGTAAACTCTATGTTACTTCCTGCCACAATATAAAAAGAAACACTGAAATTTGTATCCAGTCCACAATGAATCACTAAATATCAAACATTACAAAAGTAAACATTAAACATTTAAGTTTTACTTAACACTCATGGATAAGAGTATTTAAACCAATCACACTGAAAAGGAATTAGTCATAATAAACTATATCATGCAATCAGTCAAAAAAATCAAAAATATATATATATATATTTAATAATGACATTCACACTTGTGTAAAAACGTAATGAACAATACAGGAACTGACAGACCATACTAGCCTGGTGACAAAGTAAACTTATGCATCTACAATGTGATTATAAAGAAAAACCCATACTTAAAATGATTATATTTTTAAAAATATTTGTTTTAAGGGAACAGAATTACATCAAATCAAACTAGGAATCAAAGTAGGAGGCACGGTAGCAGTGACTCTGAACTATCACAGAATGTGATCATCAAGGATTTTTTCTATCTCAGTCAACATATGAAGTCTATACCTAAACGAAAATCTCCTGGACAGTGTTTAATGATCCTTGCAGTACCATGTACACTGAAATGCACTGTATTCAAATCACCAATCTCATATTAGTGAGAGAGAAAGAAGAGGAATAAAAGTAACGATAGTTAGAGAAAAGTGATTTAGATATGCAATATAACATGGTTAGGAAACATTCGGCACCATATCAAAATTTCTCTGAATAAGACGTGAGAGAGAAAGAAGAGGAATCAAAGTAACGATAGTTAGAGAAAAGTGAGTTAGATATGCAATATAACATGGTTAGGAAACATTCGGCACCATATCAAAATTTCTCTGAATAAGACGTGTCATGTTTTTTAATGTACCTCTGGTTAATTTTGTTTCCCTATTACAAGTAGTTTTTAAGATAACCTTTTTAATATCTGGAATTTGCATCCTAAATAACCTTTACTAATATATAAAAAAATATATTAGTTGTACTTGTGTTTTAAAAACACCTTTGTCTATAAAAACCTAGATAAGGTACATCAGGGATGACTGTACACAACATACTAACTTAAACACTCACCTTCACATCTTGGATCAACTTTTATTCACAGAACCAAAGAGGAAGAAACCAATCTTTTTTTAAACCTTTTGAACATAAGAGTTACAACAGGATCCAGATATAAAAAAAACAATGATTAAAAGACAATGAATTTGACAATTTCTCAACAGATGTAGTGGACTGGAATAGAAGAGCTTTATGATACCACAAACAACTGACATTTCTTTGGCTGGTGTTTTTTAACCAGATGATATAATACACTTTCCTTAGTAGCTACTAACTGGTTTATGCTGAAATGATAAGTGAATATCATACTAAAATCATAGGAAATGGTAGAGAATGTTGAATTTGTTTACATAAAAATAAGCAATTATGATTTCAAGACCTGTTTTATTTTTAATGTCAAACATTCGAGTAAATTATTGTATAAGAATCAGTTCAAAATTAAAGGAAATTATTATATAGCACAAACAGTCTGACAAAATTCATATTACCTCAAGTGATTACACTGTGAGCTCAAACCTGGACATTTAACAAAACACAAGTTGTTTGACTCACCATCCCTGCCGTGTCTGGGTTAGCTCCCGCTTCTAACAACTGGTCCACAATCTCTAAGTAACCTTTCCGACAAGCCCAAACCAGAGGTGTTGTACCATTCTGTATAAAACATCACTGACTGTTACTACACAATTCTAAATACGATAGTTACTATTCAGTAATGAACATAAATAACTTACAAATGCAGGATACGTAAGATTTATTTCAAATTGTATTTGTACACACCGACCACCTGGCAAAGGAGAACTTTTAATATCTGTAGCTCTATATTTAGCATTATAACTTAATGAAAGTTTACTGGTCTTGGATACCTTTATTTTATATTTATTAGTGGAACCAAAAAGGCTTTTGAAAAATTAATTCAGAAGCCATAGCAATGGGAAAGATAGAGACAGAGAAAGTAGCAGAAGCCCTCCTGGAGATATTTTGCAGAGTAGGCTTTCCGAAAGTGATAGAGAGACCACAGTTTATTTCAGAACTGATGCAGAAAGTGTGCAGACTCATTAGTACTCGGCAGTTCTTTACCTCCTCATACAATCCTAGATGTAATGGACTTTGTGAAAGAGTCAATGGAGTTTTAAAAAACATGCTAAAGAAGATGTGCCAAGAGAAACCATGTGACTAGAACAGATATTCACAAGTAATATTATTTGCTTATTGAGAAGTCCCACAAGCAAGTATAGGATTTTCAACCTTCGAGTTACTGTACGGAAAAACAGTACGAGGTCTGATACAAATACTGAAAGACCTATGGATGGGAGAAGAAGAGTTTGAAGTAAGGAACATATACCAGTAACTGTTAGACCTCAGAAACCAATTGAAGGAGACCTGCTAACTTGCTCGACAGAGCTTGTATGTAGCTCAAAGCAATCAGAAGCATTTTTATGACAAAAAAGGCTAAGTATTGACATTTCAGGGTTGGAGAGAAGGTCTTAGTTCTGCTGCCAACAGACTACAACAAGCTTACCCTACAGTGGAAAGAACTTTCTGATATAGAGGAAGTACTCAACAGAATGGACTACAAGGTGAATGTGAACAAGAAGACCAAGATCTACCATGCCAATCTGTTGAAGAAGTATTTTGAGAGAAGAAGAAGACCTAATGGGTGCAGCTATTAAAACAAAGATGGGGATCTATGATGGCAACACCTGCAACATAGAACCAGAAGACAGGGACTTTGTCTTAAAAGATGAGACATACAAAGATGTGAACATTAGTAAGGAACTGACTGGCAAGCAGAAAAATAAGCCATGAGATCTACTGTGCCAGTGTGAAGATATCTTTACGAATAGACCAGGAAAGACAGACCTTGTGCAACACAAGATCGAGACAACAAACAGGGATCCTGCTAAAGTGAAGCCCTATCAGATGCCTTATGCAATGAGAGATCTAATAAAGCAGGAAGTTGGAGGAAATGTGGGTAGCTGGAATCATCGAGCTTTCAAATTCAGCCTACTGTTCACCAGTTTTAATTGTGAAGAAGAAGGATGGATAAAACCAGTTCTGCATAGACTTCCGGAAGCTGAATCTCGTGACAAAGTTTGACTCAAAGATTGACCTCAGTAAAGGTTACTGGTAGATCCCAATGGAGAAAGGACCTAAAGAGAAGACAGCATTTGGATGGATGTTACCAATTTAAGCAGATGCCATTTGGGTTAGTCAACTCAACAGCAATATTCAACTGCATGATGTGTACAACACCACAAACATCAAGCACTATGTGGATGACATTTTGACACACACTGCAAGATGGGAAGACCACCTGAAAAAATTAGAGAGCTGTTCCAGCGAGTGAGGGCAGCAGGTCTCACCATCAGACCATCCAAGTGCTACATCGAATATTCTGTGCTGAAGTTTGTTAGACACAAGTTGGGGGACCGACAGATATCCATGGAAAACGAGAAGATAATCCACATTCAAGATACACCAGCTCCAACAACCAAGCAGCAAGTCAGATCCTTCCTAGGGTTAGTGGGATACTATAGGAAGTTCATCCCAAACTATGCTAAAGTTACTGCACCATTCACTGACCTGACCCAGAGAGGCTTACCCAACAAGGTGAAGTAGGAACAACCACACCAGCTGGTATTCTAGAAATTAAAGAACATGTTGGGAAGTTTGCCAATTCTTAGAATGACAGACTTCAACAAACCAATCATTGTATTAGGCTGATGCTTCAGAGATTGGAATTTGGGGCAGTACTCTTACAACAACATGAAGACAGACTGTTTCCAGTAATATATATATAAGTAAAAAGCTGTTATATAGTGAGAAGAACTATTCTGTGACAGACCATCAACCACTTGCATACATTCAGAGGTGCAAAATCAACAATGTGAGGATCATGTGGTGGGCATTGTACCTTCAGAACTACAGGTTCTGCATTTAAGCCATCAAAGAGACTACAAATGTTGATGCAGACTGTATGAGTAGACTTTATGGATGAGGTGAAAACAATCTTTGTATATATTGAAAAAAAAATATTTCTCTTGAAGAGGGGCTTATTGTCAGATATAAAAGACTGTTTAGTGTATGTAGTATTATTAATTTATTTATTATGTGTTTGTAATTCATTGATATTGAGGCTATCGAATGTTGTGTTTGCAATCCATTGATATTGAGGCTATGAAGATTTCTAGAAGGCCTAAGTGATAGACATATAAATAGCTGCAACCAAACAAGCAGCAACAGAGAGAGTAAAAGTAAAGTCACGGGAAAGAGAAGTTTGGTGAGAGAAAAGTTAGAAAAAGCAAAGTTAACTATCACAGGAATGAAAGGCCTAATGGTTTATATGTTAGAGTGAGATTAATAGTTTGAAAAAGATAAAGAAAATAATTTATCTTTTCAAAGGGTGTTCTAAGCTAACTAAATCCACCTGTGTGGACTTTGATGATAAACAGACAATTATTTTGAAGTGTGAAAAAGCAGACAATTATTAGAAGTATACGATACAACTACAGTAACTCACTCAACAGCGAAAGTGAATTATATACGGATACTATTTTGATAGAAATAGAGAAAAATAGTTTGGCTTGTCAACTGAATTCTAAAGCAATTGAATAGGCCTAAGTGGACTTTTGACAAGAAGAAGACAACTGTATAGTGTTTTAGATACAACTATAATCGTCATAGTGTAAAGAATTTTGTGCATATGTTTAACTTGTTTCAAATATGTATATTATTTTAAAAACAAGTGGGATGCGTGCTGTCTGTTTATTATCGAATTTATCACCAACAACTTACAGACATCTACTGTAGAAGAATCCTTAACCCAACAACCCATATATTTAGATTACTATATATACTACTAAAAATTAAGTTTCTGACATCAATAAAAAATTATATTTGCTTAATATAAAATAAGATTTCACTAAGCATTAATGTAAGTTTCTAGAAAAAGAATAAAGGATTAAAAAATTTTTTTTGTTACATGTTCATTTCTTACAGAATTTTACAAATGCATATCACCTACTAATTCATTCACTTTTAAAGAAACAAGATTGAAAAAAAAAAGTCATTTTTTCACCACCCAGAAATTTTGTGGACTTTTACAAATAAATATTATATAACTCACTCACTATACTTTTAAATAACAGGATTGAAAAAGATCTATATTTTTCATTACCCAATAAAAGTAACAATCTTAATTTTACATAACCTTATGTAGAAGGTTATACATTCACAGGTTAAGGTTTATAAATTAAAATTTGGTTCTTGCCTTATCTCCAGAGTTTACTTTCGCTCCATGATTTATAAGATCCCGTACAATCTGCGTGTGACCTCTCCCAGCTGCCCACACAAGACATGAGATGTGGTTCTGATCATATATGTTTGGCATTGCACAATGGTCCAGCAGAAACCGAGCAATTTCTGTATGTCCTTTGTATGATGTCCACATCAGAGCTGTCCAACCCCCCTACAAACAAATATTAAAATTATATATCTCTTAGTACTTAATACACTATAGCCCTTTCAATGAGGTTTTTCTTAAATAAGACAAAGGTAAACCCCTTGTAGTTAGACAGTGTACTTCAATAACACTAAACATGGGTATAAAAAAAAAAGTCCTTTTGGTAACAAAGGCAAAATTTCTCTAACATGCTTGGCAAAACCAGAAAGAAATAAAAACAAAACTGTGCAAAAAAATTTGTCTCAAATCTAATCATGTACAAAAATGCCAATGGACAGAATTATCACTCCATGTA